GACCATTGTTATGTCCACCTGTATGGGGATATTCATATACGAATAATCCCATCTCTAATCACAGTTCACAATTATGACGGTATCAAGAAGCCTTTTGGTCCAATACAGAAGAAATCTGCTTCTTCAAGTCTGCTACAGGTGTGCTCATCCAGGACCCCAGCACAGCAGATGGAGTGCTGGGTGCAGCAGTACTCTGAGCTATATTCTAGACAGAATGAAGTAATTGAAGAAGCATTAAATAACATCAAGCGCCTGCCTGTCTTGGAAGAGTTGGACAGTGAACCTACTTTAGCAGGAATAAAAGCAGACTTGGCTTCCCTGACCCCCGGCAAGGCACCGGGGAAGGATAACGTCCCTGTTGAAGTGCTGAAGTGCTGTAAAGAGATCATCACCACTGAGCTATATGAAATCTTTTGTCTTTGCTGGAGGGAAGGTGGAGTACCACAGGACATGAAGGATGCAAACATTGTCACATTGTATAATAAGAAAAAAGGAGACAAGGACGACTGCAATAACTACAGTGGCATTTCTCTTTCAGTATTGTAGGGAAGCTGCTCGCCCGTGTTATGCTGAAGAGGCTCCAGGTGCTTGCAGACACAGTCTGTCCAGAATCACAGTGTGGATTTCAAGTGAATAGATCCAGCATTGACATGGTATTTTCCCTTCAACTGTTGCAAGAAAAATGTAGGAAACAACATTTGTGGCCTTCATAGATCTCACAAAGGCCTTTGATTTGGTTAGCAGGGATGGCCTTTTAAAATAGTTCCCAAGATTGGATATCCACCTCAACTCCTTAACATCATCAGGTCCTTTCATGAGGAAATGAAGGCACTGTAGTTTTTGATGGCTCAACATTAGATCACTTTGCTATCCGAAGCAAAGTGAAACAGGGCTGTGTCCTTGCAATGACTCTGTTCGGGATCTTCTTTTGCTGTAATGCTGAAGCACACTTTTGGAACTGCAAGAGAAGGTGTCTATCTCCAGACTAGATCAGATGGAAAGTTCTTTAATCTCTCTAGACTGAGAGCGAAGACCAAAGTCCAACTGAAATGCATGCAGGACTTTCTCTTCACTGATGATGCAGCTGTTGTTGCCCATTCTGCTGAAGACCTTCAGCAACTCATGAATTGTTTTAGGAAGGCCTGCCAAGACTTTGGACTAACTATCAGCCTGAAGAAAACACAAGTCATGTGCCAGGGCGTGGACTCACCTCCCTCTGTTACTATCTCCATGCAAGAACTGGAGGTTGTTCATGAATTTGTGTACCTTGGCTCAACAATCTCTGACACTCTCTCCCTAGATGTCGAGCTGGATAAACGCATTGGGAAAGCAGCTACTATGTTCTCAAGACTCACAAAGAGAGTATGGCTTAATAAGAAGCTGACGGCATATACGAAGATCCAGGTCTATCAAGCCAGTGTCCTGAGCATACTCCTGTACTGCAGTGAGTCCTGTACCCTTTATGCACATCAGGAGAGGAAGTTGCACATGTTCCATATGCATTGTCTCCAACATAATTTTGGTATCACCTGGCAGGACAAAGTTCCAAATAGAGTAGTCCTAGAACGAGCTGGAACTTTCAGCATGTATACAATATTGAAACAGCGCCGTCTACGTTGGCTTGGGCACGTCGTGAGAATGGCTGATGGTCGGATTCCAAAAGATCTCCTGTATGGAGAATTAGTGCAGGGAAGCCGCCCCCGAGGGAGACCACAGCTGCGTTACAAGGACATCTGCAAGCGGGATCTGAAGGCCTTAGGAATGGACCTCAACAGATGGGAAACCTTGACGTCTGAGCGCTCAGCCTGGAGGCAGGCGGTGCATCATGGCCTCTCCCAATTTGAAGAGACACTTGTACAGCAGACCGAGGCAAAGAGGCAGTCCCAAAACAAGCAAAACCAGGGAGCTGGACAGGGGACAGATTGGAATTGTCTCCAGTGTGGAAGGGATTGTCACTCTCGAATTGGCCTTCTCAGCCACACAAGACACTGTTCCAAGACCTCCATACAGAGCACGATACCATAGTCTCTTGAGACTGAAGGATGCCTACAACGAGTTGTGATTTACTACCTGATTCAGCCATTGAATAAGCCATTCTGTGAAGAGCATAGTTGTTATGTGTGCTATGTGCTATCTAATCAGAACTGACAAATAGCAATATTTGTCAACATTTGTCAATAATAATAGACTAATAAGTGAGATATTTAAGGAATAGTTTTTCCTTAAATTTCCTCCTCCGTGAGGTTCCATGACTAAAGTTTCAAACCCAGGTCTTCTGAGTCATAGTCCATCAACTCTATCCCCTACACCATACTGCCTATCTAGACATTGTTCAGTAAAGGACATTGTTGACAGATTTGTAAAGAGAGGCAAACCAGTTAATCTGTGGTGGTAGGGGGAACCTGTCTGACTGCAAACCATACCAAAACCTACCAGTGTTATCAGAAGGTCTTCTGCCAAATGAGAAGGGAAGAGATATTCTCATCAGTTCAGCCTGCTGTCTCACTGTTGCCACATTGCCATGCTCACAACAACCAGGACAACGAAGTGGTAGCAGCACCTTCTTTCTACTAGAGATCCCTTTCACAGGTACTGTTGTCTAGGCAGGTGTCTTCCATCCTATATCTATGCAGTTCTTTTTTTCTGCCCAGGTTTCTTACATTTCTCCCTGTTGAAGTTCATTTTGTTAGTTTTGGCTGAGGACTCTAATCTGTCAAGGTCATTTTGAATTTTAATCCTATCCTCTGGGGAATTAGCAACCCCTCCCAATTTGGTATCATCAGCAAATTTAATCAGCATCCAAATCCTTCATCTAAGTCATTGATAAAGATGTTGAATAGCACAGGGTCCAGAACAGAACCCTGAGGCACCCCACTAGTTACCTCACTCCCAGATGAAGAGAAGCCACTGGTGAGCACCCTTTGGGTTCGGTCAGTCAACCAATTACAAATCCACCAAACAGTAGGACTGTCTAGCCCACATTTTACTAGCTTCCTTGCAAGCTAGTTCAGCAGGCCAAGGCAAAGAGGCAGTCCCAAAACCAGAAAAATCAGGGAGCTGGAAAGGGGGCAGGTTGTCTCAGTGTGGAAGGGATTGCCATTCTCGAATTGGCCTTCTCAGCCACACTAGATGTTGCTCCAAGACCTCTGTTCAGAGCACGTTACCATAGTCTCTTGAAACAGAAGGATGCCTACTGCTCACAGGTGATGCAAACTAACATTCTGTATCTCTCAGTGGCCGGTCACTGACTTTTCCAAACTTTGTGAATAAGTTTGCACTCTGCTTGTAAGTTTCCTGATATGGTTAGTCAACGTTGATGGCAGACTTCTGGAAAGAAACAGATCATTAAGCTAAATTAGGATTAATGGCTATGGAATATATAATTACCATTCCCAAAGCCAGAGTCTCTGTCTCTCTCTCTCTCTGCCTCTCTCTGTCTCTGTGTGAAAGCTATCAGTTTCAGTTACATGAAAGATCAATATAATGTCATTTAAAGTGAACAAAACAGGAGAAACACTCTTCATCCTATTCTTGATCGCATTTTGTTTTATTTTCTTATTTCTACCACTCTTAGAAATTTCTGTTTTTTCTGTTCTGCATTCTTGGGAGTTTGGAGGGGATAATATTGCTACTAAAATAATGAAAAGGTCAAGACTCAGAATATATTGAATTAGGGAAATGATGGCCAATTTTCAATACTTCTACTACATCCATTTAAATTAGTGTTCATTTTTTCACAAAACTCTGTGACATTCACAATTTGATTATAAGGATAATGAAAGGGCCAATCCAGCCTTAGCAAAATCAGCTAGTAGAGCAAAACAGAACTAAATAAGACAAAAGTTAATCTACTATGAAATCAACAGGATGATATCAACAACAGTGGCCAAAATCCTGTTGCCTAGCATATAGATAATACTAAAGAAGGGTCATTGAATAAAATGGGGATTTAGAGAGTCAACTCCTCTGTAAATTCCACTGATCCAAATGGACCTATTTGTACAGTAACTATATTAAAGGAAGTTGCAGTTAGAGAAGGTTCATTTGAATCAATGGAACTTATAGAGGAGTTGACTCAGTGAATTATTGCTGATCCAATGAATCTACTCTAGCATGCATTAAGCAATAAGATTTTGCTATCACCTCATAAAAAGAAGACAAGTTTCAGACAAACAAGGAAAGTTATCTGGCATTCCATTAATATGAAATCCAGTTTATGAACGTGGGATGACGTGCTTCATGATTCATGATTCAAAAAGCTAGGAAATGTCCCATTATTGCTGCACGATATCATTCCTGCATTGCCAGCAGGAAAACAGTGCCTGAGACAGACAAAAAAAAAACCCTGTTCACTTCTTGGACATTAATTTTAAACATATGGCACTCCAGTGGCACCGATTGTAGTAAATTTATGTTAATTCTGCTAACTCTAAGTAATTATGATGATGATAATTTAAATTTTATTGGTTCATGTAAACTAAGCGCAGAATAAACCTGGGTTCTCAATAAAATTCTTCTTAGAATCTAGGCGCCATATCGATTTTTGCTCTCACTTCCCCAAATAGTCAGCTGTCGAAGACAAAAGGGATCAGCTCTTCAGTTCTTTCCTTTTGGTTCCTGACAAAAGCTCTATAGGACCCTTTGCAAACTAATTTCAGAAAACAGGTGCAAAACATCAAGGAAAGAATCAATTTCAATGCCCTGAAGAACCATTGAAAAGCCATTTCAAAAATGTAGGGGCAAATCAAGAAATCTACAGTAAATTAACAAATAGCACTATTTTAAAAGATCAGTCTAACAAGGAAAAAATGCACATCCACCAACTCCCCCCCCCACACACACACATACACACTCAGAGGGTAATCAAGACAAAATTGAAAAATACACATTGCCTGCACTAGGTGAAAACCTAGTGCAGAAGTCCCAAAAAACTCACAGCTCACAGACTGAGCAGCTGCAGTTCCTCTTGCCAGACTCTGACAGGTCGATGGCCACAAGGCAGCTGTGGCTACTTGCCTACACTCCATGATTACCAGCTACTCTCAGAGTTCGTGCTTCCTTCCTTCTCTGAGTATTTCAACAGATGCATGAAATAACAATGTCCACCTGGTAAACCCAGAGGGCTGGAGCAGGAACAGCAGTATTATAGCCAGCAAGAACACAGCTACCACATGTTGTTAAGTGCCTGGTGACTTATTTCCAAATAAAACTGGACCCAGGTAAGTCCCACATACCTGAAAACCTCTTACCAGTTGGAGTAAATACCTGTTGTTGTTGTTTTTTTTGGGGGGGGGAGCTGCCTTCCTTAATGTGATTTTTCTACAAATACACATTTAAATGCCGGGTAGGTGGGGCTCGTCAGCCTTGGAAGGCAGCCCATCTAGGAGAAGGAAAACTCTGATTTCAAACCTCCACTGCCTTGTGGCTATATTCACTCATGGAAAAGGCTTCATGAGTCACCCTCGAGCTTCATGAGTCAACCTGGAGTCCTGGAGGCAGTTCGTGTCATTCTGCCAACTCCTGCAACGTTGCTGGAACCAGTTGTATTGGCTCTTGCCTTTCCACTGGACCATTTCAGCAATGTGGAGAGGGGGGATCTGCTGCTTGGGTAACAGCCTATCCTCCATATTACTTTACCCAGGCTTCATGCTCTGGAGAGGACACTCCTCATTTCAGAGCATGTTACCATAGTCTCTCGAGACTGAAGGATGCCTATGCTACACATTTAAAATGCATTTCAGGTAGGGCTGTGCATTACACCTCTTGCTTTTGCAGAGAAATTGAGAGAGAGAGGAAAAAGCTTTCTTGTCTCCTGGCAATGAAGCTTCTCTGTGTGAGGTTTTTGCTGATAAAAATCCGTAGGAAATTTCATGGGACTGCCCCAAAGTTTTGTGGTCATTTTTGTCCTGGAATGCCGAGCTGTGAGGGATTATTACAATTCTTGTGCAGAATGGCATCTTTCCTGCATAGGATTCACTTGGAAAGGGCATTAAGCAACACAGAATTCAGCAGTTTAAATCGGCAAACCTTCCTCCCTCCCAAAAAGGGGTGTGTAAGGTTGAAGTCTCAGTTTTCATAAGCTGCTGGGGAATCTTAATGATACTTTCAAAGCAAGTCTCAGTAAAGACTCTCAACATGGGGAAACTTGGGAAATTACCAATAATGGAAAAAAAATTGTAAGTACACATCACATCCTTAATTTCAGGTAGGTTCGAATTTCCTTGAACTCCAGTGCAAAACTGAAGGAATGGCCAAGTTTTCACCTATACATTAGCCTAAGAAGTGGTTTCTTTGAAGTCAGAGTGACTGAATTCTCCCAGTCTCTTTCTATCCCAAGGGTTAATACCTATTTTAGGGGGGAAAGCATCCTTCTAATGCAACATACTGCTTCCCTATATCACCATCTGTTGGTACAGATACATGAACTTGCAGTTATGCAGACACACTTTTAAGAACTGGTCTCAGCCAAAACAATTGGTTTTTTGAAACCCAACTGGTTCATTACAATACCGGGGCCAATATGAGAATTCTACCTCTGCACACATTTTCTAGTGTCTTGAGTTTGTACTCTTTGCCACACAGACAATAGAATTGTTGGCATGCAGTGTGGAGGTAGGGCAACACAAAACAATGTGCTCAAGAGAAATAAGATACATGACCTAAGGAATGGGGAGACAGAAAGCAAAAGGTGAGAAATGGTACTAGTCAATTGAGAGATTCAAAGGGACTACAAGATCAAGGCTGGAGTGAACATCCCCAGCTTTGCAGCAGAGAAAGCCTTAGAGACTTTGATGAAGAGGAAAGAATTCTAGCATAGAGAGCAACAGCCACATTGACATGAATGCTAAAATGCCCCCAATGACGAACAGCCAAGTCCTCAATGATGCTGAAACAGCAACAACTGATACAGCTGCTTAATAAAATGTCCCTTATTCTCTCCTGACTCTGTACATCTTGATTTTATATCTCAAGTACTGAATATCTCAAACAGTCATAACAATTAGAACTATGCATTTAATAGATGTGAAGTTGAAATTAAACTATAGAATTCAGGCTTTGCTGACTCCTAGTTCATGAATTGTTACCCATCTCTGTTTGGACTATGGGACCACCCTTGGGCTCTGTACAGCTGTTGGTAATGTACTTTTGCAAGATTTTATGCAGTTCCAAAAGTAGGGCTCAACCCCTTAGTGCAGACCTGCAGTAGTGTTTTTCTAGGCCAGGAAAAGAGAGGAAGGAGAAATATGGACACTAGGTCATGCTTAAGAAACAGTATGCAAATTCACAATCTGTGTCAAAATCTAAGGACATTTTTGTGAGCTGTGCCTGCTTGCAGAAAGCAAGTAATTCAAGATGTTGGTGTGGATTGCTCCTGAATGGGTGATTTAAACTTCTCAAAAGTCTTTCTTAGTGAAACTGTAAGTACCTAGAATGAGTGTCTTAGTAGTAGACTCTATAAACATTTAGAGCAAGAGTGGGCACATGCAGTCGCACCAGAACCCCAAATACTCCTGAGGCACCCTCTTCACTCCTCTTCATCACCACATTTATTTTTTCTCCTTAAAAAGTTCCCTTGCCCCCTTTAGGAGATAAAGGGAGCAATTTTTGCATGTTTGGGGGGAACACAGCACCTTTGGAGGCCCCACACCGCCAATTATTTCCTCCATTTGTGTGGAGGAAACAACAGGATGCACTTCTCTATCCAAGGTGACAATGTTGGATAAGACAGCAATTGAACGGAAGAGGAAGAAGAAATAATAATATGCCATCTAGCTGATCCCAGCTTATGGTAACCCTTTCCAGGGTTTTATCAATATACAGAAGTGATCTACTTTCCCCCTTTCCATGGACTGTGCAGCTGTGAAGACTACAAAGGCTGCCTCTTCTCCTGGGAAGCACAGTGGAGAAGCAAACTCCCAATCTCTGATTGCTTATACAGCTGGTTGAACAGGGCTCTAGAGCTAGGAAAACATTTTCTCCTCATAAGACTTTATATCAGACATCATCATCCTGTTCCAATCCTAATTTGTTATTAGTTGATTTTATCTATTCAACTCATTTTACACAGTCTTCTCCACTGCTTCCCTTCCAAAAATTCTCAGATTATATTTCCTTCAGGTTAGATCTTTTCTACTCCATTTCTTCTACGGGATTCTTGCCCACAATAATCGTCTGAATTGAATTCGCCCATTCCCATCCATTTTAGTTCACTGACGCCCAGGAAGTCAATGTTTATTCTTGCCATCACTTGTTTGACCACATCCAGCTTACCAAGTTTCATAGATCTTACATTCCAGGTTCCTATGCAGTATTTTTCTTTGCAGCATCGGACTTTCCTTTCACATCCAGGCACGTCCACAGCTGAGCGTCCTTTCGGCTTTGTCCCAACCACTTCATTAGCTCTGAAGCTACTTGTACTTTCCCTCCGCTCTTCCTCAGGAGCATGTTGGACGCCTTCCGACCTGAGGAGGTCATCATCCAGCATCATATCTTTTAGCCTTTTGTTTCTGTCCATGGAGTTTTCTTGGCAAGGATAGAGTGGCTTGCCAGTTCCTGCTCCAGGTGGATCGTGTTTAGTCTGAACTCTCCAATATGACCTGTCCATCTTGGATGTCCCTGTATGGCACAGCCCATAGCTCCTCCAGGATGAACAGTGGAAGTCCAAGCAGGGCGATCATCTCGGCGATGAGATAAGTGGCTTCCTGATGGGCCTTGCCCTTTGACTGCCGAATGAGGGTCATGGCTGGCTAACGGTTGCCACTTCTTGAAGCGTGGCCTGCCTCATGCTCCCAGCCCAGAAACCCCTGTGGCTGCCCTTTTGAAAGGAGACGCCACCTCCTGCCTCCCTTCTGGAGCTGCTCTTTTCCCTCTCCTAGATGGCATGGATGAAGTGCCTTCCCTGGACAGGAGCCTTGGGTGGTGCCTCTCCAGATGTTGGCAGAGGGTGGTGGAGGACAGATACCTGGGGTCTGACCCTCTCCTAGGAAATCCACACATTCTCTCTCTCTCTCTCCCTCCCTCCCTCCATCTCTCTCTCTCTCATGCACACACACACACACACACAGAGCTCCCTCCTATTATTTTCTAGTTGTTACACAATGGCTATTCTCTGGTTTTAATTTTGCCCCTGAAACCTCAAGAAATGGGAAGGTGCTGTCTAGTTTCGGTTCATGCTGGCTGGCGTATTCTGAGAGCTGAAGGAACTTTTCTTTCAATCCATACATCCTTACTTTAGTGAACTGCTGAAGAGGAAGAATACTGAGAGTAGAAAGGACCATAAGTACATTTCTGTGTAACATTCCTGATCCAAGCGGACCCTTAGGGATACCTTGTTCTTTAATTCTGAAAATACTGTATGTTGTTTCTCCTCCTTGACTCACTATTTGCATTGGGCCTTTGTTGGTGGATTTCAGGATTCTAATCAAAATTTAACTGGATCCTGAAAGTAGATCTCGTAAAACAGGGCCACTGTGTTCTCTCATTTTTATTCAGAGAAACTGACAAACTGCAGCGTGGCATTTTAAAAGTATGTCTTTTCTAAAAGGATGTGAATGTGAGAGCAAAGGCGTTGTCAAAATCTGGAATATAATATCATGGTGCTGTGAATACTGGAGCCAATTTTATTGTGATGTGGTAATTATCCAGGCAATGTGATGCTGTAAGCATCCAAGCCAGCAGACAAGCTGCATTGTCCAGGAAAATCAAAGGCTCAGATCTAGCCTGAACATAGGATAATGCAACTGTTACTGAACATTCTTAGTGTTGCAAAACAGAAGACCTCAAAATGCACCCTCCCTATCTCCATTCTACCATTTTTGTGGTTATACTTTGATGCAGCAAAGAATTTCAGAGTATCAATTTATGCTTTAAGGATTGTGTGGATCATGAGAAACTATGAATTGTTCTGAAAGAAATGGATGTGCCTCAGCACTTGATTGTCCTGATGTTTAGCCTGTATTGTGGACAAGAAGCTACTGCTAGGGCAGAATATAGAGAAGCCAAATGGTTTTCTGTAGGCAGAGGTGCCAGACAAAGGTGAATTTTATCCCCATATGGAAAGCCAGCCTAGATTCAGATGAAGGAGAGTAAAAACTGGTGGAAGAAGCATCAGTAATTCAAGATATGCAGATAACACCATCTTACTGACAGAAAGAAGTAACAACTTGAAGAGCTTTTAGTGAAAGTGAAAGAAGAAAGTGTCAAAGCAGGATTGCAGCTGAATGTGAAGATGAAAATCATGGTTTCAGAACTGCACATCTTTTATTCTGACAGCGAAGAAACTGAAATTGTTAAAGATATCGTAAACTTTCCTTCAATCATCAATATAAATGGAGACAGCAGCCAAGAAATTATTATTATCCCCAAATCCTGTCTTCTTCATCATCACCATCAATCAGGCAAATGCAATTGGAAAAAAATCCAATTTCACAGGCAAAAGCTGATGATGTCATTAGCTGGCACCAGTAACACTTAATGTAATATAATTCAAAAGCTTCCTATTTCCCCCCATTTTAGGCTCCAAGGCTTCCTAGGGCTCTCTTTTGCCCCGAGGAAACCTTTGGAAGTTTCTGGATGGTGGGAGGGAGAAGCTTTTGGAAGCCTCTGGGTATGGGAGGAAGACTTTAATCGCTAAAATCAGTGGTCCCAATCCTGATGGCATCTATAAAAGGCTTCCCTAGGGCAAAGAGGAGCCCTAAAGAACCTCCGAACCTAAAAAGGAGAACAAGGAAACTGTTAATTCATTTACATTAAATTTTACTGACATAATCCATTTCCACTGGTGGAAATTTATGCAATAGGATTTTACCCACTATTTTCTAGAAGTGAGTGCTATGCATGCAAATTGTGCTAACATATCAGTGTGTGGCTTCTGCAACCAAGAAAAAAAAACATGTAACTGCTCTTGCTCAGAATAAGTCATGATGAAGTTTGAAGTAAGAAGTTAGAAAAGGGAAGGATCTTCATCCTGCATCTTCATCCTCCTGCTTAGGTTTGGGATTATGGTTCGGAGGGACTTTTCAGTGGTGGCTCCATTTCACTACTACTTTGGTGACTGTTGGGATATTCAAACACGCAGGATGATGGCATCACTAACCACTTTATTCTGGGTAAAGGCAGAGTGCAAAGCTGTAGAAATGGGCAGGCTATTTCACTCTCTTCACTGGTGTTTATGTACTGTGTTCAGAAGTCACAGTTTGCTCTTGAGAGCACTTTCCATTTGTGTCAGGTTTCTACAACATCCTCAAATTAATCGATAAAAACGACCAGGTTCCTAATAAAACTGCAGCTACAATATAATGAATTTTGAATGAGAAATGATTTCTTTAAGTGTTGCTGAGGGTTACACATTTACACTGAGGGACAGGTGGGAAGCCATGGTCTGGAACTTTCAGGGCTTGACTTTGATGTATGAGATTCCGTCTTGAGTCTCCCTTATTGAACATGGATTCTTGGCAACACATATGAGTTTTACAATAGAGACAGCATGAAGGGCGTTAGAAAAGCACATTCTTTCAGACAGCATAACCTGCTGATTCAGATCCTCCAAATACAGACACTTTTAATGTACCACTTGCATTTTAAAAAAATCCGTTTCATCACATTTCTCTGTTCAGGTGTGCTTATTTTTCTCAAGGAGTTTGCTCCTCAAAGTAGAAAATGCAAAGAAGTTCTTGGCATTCAAAAGCTCATCTCTTTCCCTCTTTAAAAAGCAGGTGGGGGAGATATTTGAATTATATGACTCATCATTAGAAGCTGAAAAGCATTGGTATTTCAAAAATGTGATATCCTAGACTGTAGTCACTGAGGAGCCATCCTTAGAATATTTAGGTCCACAAAACCAGTTATAAAGCAAGGTGAGGCAGTCGATTGGAGAGTTATGTGAGATGCGAAGAGCTCCTGCTGCAATGATCACATATCTGAACTGTGACTCCCAGCGTTCCTCAGCCAGCATGGCAGTTATAGTCCAGAAAAGGAACTTTTCTAAAACTCTCATGGAATCATAGAATTGTTGTAGGGCTGGAAGGGACCTTGGAGGTCTTCTAGTCCAACTCCCTGCCCAAGGGAGACCTCATGCCATCCCAGACAGGAGGTCATGCTCACCCATCTAATTATTTGTACTCTGTACTGTACTCCTTTCAACCTCTGGAAGCTTTGGGGCTGACAAGTGCCTCACCGCCAAATGGTGTGGAGAGGTGCTACCCTTTCTCGGAAGCCCATGTCTCCAACTGTTGGCTGATTGAATTTTCACACACACAAACACACACACACACACACACACACACATCCTCAACTGCCATTTCATGTTTCCCTCAAGACTTATTTATCCTAACATTCCATACTCTTTATATTCATTGTTTGTTACTTTAAATATTGTCTTTTAATTATAAAAACCACCATTGTATATTCATTGTTTTCAGCTTTAAATATTATCTTTCAATGATGGAAGCTGTCTTGTGTCCTTTTTAAGGAGAAAGGCTGGGTAGATAGATAGATAGATAGATAGATAGATAGATAGATAGATAGATAGATAGATAGATAGATAGATAGATAGACAGACACACACACACACACACACACAAATACATACATACATACATACATACATACATACATACATACATACATACATACATACATACATACATACATACATACATACATACATACATACTCACTCCCAGGTTCACTCCAGCTCTTCAAAATTAACAAGGTCTCAAAACTGCTGCATTGCAAGTGTGTGTGTGTGTGTGTGTGTGTGTGTGTGTGTGTGTGTGTGATAGAGGTGTATAGAGGTGTAAACTGGGTAGAATTGCTAGCTTTTAATCCTTTGTGTGTGTGTGTGTGTGTGTGTGTGATAACTTCTGGAGAGGTTCTTCAATATACTAACCTTGCTTCAGTTCCTAGTTCTTCTCCAAGCTTTGCATCTATTATCGAGAATGGATGCCCGCTGAACAATGCAAAGAAGAACAGAACATACAGCCCACAGACAAATTATTCTGCAAGGAGAAGAACAGACTGGGTACATTAGAGGTAACTATTGAAATCTATGATTTAAAAAGAAATGATAGCCCCTTATGACCTTGATAGCATATGGAAATGGGAAGGGTTTGATTTATCTCTTCCCCCCCTTGCAACTTTATCGAATCATTTCTGAAGAATAATCAGCCAGAGTTAAATAGGACCCTGTAGTGATTGACCTCTTTATTATCTGATTCATCATGCTGCAGGTACTTTCACAAGGAAAGGGAGTCCATCAGTCAACAATAATGTAGACTAGTTCCTAGCTGGCAACAAAGCACTAAAGGCTTTTAAGCATTATGAAAATAGAACAAAGACATGTTCCAGGTTGTCACTAGGTCAAAAGTCTTGGAACAATATTGTTTGCTGCAGTTGCAAAAATGTTATTGGATCTTGCAGAGTGTGTGTGTGTGTGTGTGTGTGTGTGTGTGTGTGTGTGTGTGTGTGTGTGTGTGTGTGTGTGTGTGTGTGTATCTCCCTTTCCATCTTCAGAATATCAGTATAGCAACAACAGAATTGTCCTGATGGAAATACAAAAAATTAGAAATACATTTAAGAAATAATATTTACATATTTGTTGTCTTCTTTGACACATCACAATTTTTTATTTGCATTTATTTTTTATTTTGCAACTGTAATTCTGCTTCTAAGAATTTCATCAGCTATTCTGTTGTTATTTTGTGCAATGACTAAATCCAATCCAGCAAAAATAGAATCGTTGAATGAATAGGATTGGTCAACAAACATTAAGTAAATCTGTCTGTCTGTCTGTCTGTCTGTCTGTCTGTCTGTCTGTCTGTCTGTCTGTCTGTCTGTCTGTCTGTCTGTCTATCTATCTATCTATCTATCTATCTATCTATCTATCTATCTATCTATCTATCTATCTATCTATCTATCTATCTATATGCTACTTTGAAAAGTCCACTTCTTAGCCAGAGATAGCTAAACTGTGACCTTTCTATTTCATAATAACTGATCATTGCCTATGATACCAGTATAGCCATATGAGCATACCAGCTTCAGCTGACTTGGGAAACGGAGCAGGATTGGGCCTAGTGAGCATGTGGAGGGGAGATCACCAAAGAATACCAGGGATATCCATGTGGAGTGGGAAAAGAATCATGCCTCCAGATCTGGAGAGCTTCTGCCCAGGTCAAAGCTAACAATATTGTCCTATATGGACCACTGGTCCCACTTAATATAAGGCTGTTTCCTATTTTTCTATACCTACTCTAGTTTAGACTAACTTTTCGATTTAGCCAGTTAAATTGTACAATGCTCTGATATTTAAACATGTGGTAGTGTGGCAAGTGTTTTTTAATCATCATCAGTAGCAAAAAAACAACAAATCTTTTGGATACAGACTTTTAAAAATGGTTGCCCTTCAAATCAAGTTGTGTGGTGCATTGGCAGTACTGCAGCCCAAACTCTGCTCATGACCTGGGATCAATTCCAGGTAGCCGGCTCAAGGTTTACTCAGCCTTCCATCCTTCTGAGTTTGGTAAAATGAGTAGCCGGCTGGGAGGGGGGCATGTGTAGCCTGTGTAATTAAATTGTAAAGCACCCAGAGAGTGCTTTAAGTGCTATGGGGTGGTATGCTGGCAGCTCAATTTGCTTTTGCTTTGCTTTTCAGTTGGTTAGTTCAAAACGTAGGATTTCAGTCTATGTCCAAAATCCTGTTGTTTAGCTTAGTATATCATATTAGAGTAGGACCATTGAATCAGTGGGGAATTAGTGACTCAACTCCTCCATGAATCCCGTTGATTCAAATAGGCCAACTTTGACTACAACTTACTGTACTAAAACAAAATCAACTAGGAGAAGCTTGTTTGAATCAAGTAATGAAAGAGTTGATTCACCAATGCTTACTCTAGTGTGATCTACTACACTAAGGAACAGGATTTTGGCCTATAGGATGAAGTAGATTTGTGCTTAGATCCATTTAATAACTTATATTTGGGTCATGATATACAACTGGAGAATCAGATATGCAGGAACTATGGGAAAATGCTCTGCAGGATCTGGAAATAATTTTGTATAGCACCAGTACACCTGTTGATATTATTTCTGCATTGTCATGAGAGAATAATATGGACGAAGCAATCTCCTACATCAAAATCTTAAAAGTATTTCATTTTTCTGAAATGTTAGAATCTGTTAGAAGCTGTTTTATTTATACATATTTTCTATAAACATATATTCATATTTCATGTGACAATGAAGTGGTTTACCTGTTTCAAACTGCAACCTGTGAATTGGCCCTTAAACTGGGGAAAAGTGAATCTAGGTCAAGAAGTTAGAAGTAGATCAGAGTCAACGTTGCAGCTGGGAACATTTCAGCTCAGATTTTGGGGTGAAAGACTTCCGTTTACTTCTTTGTGGTCATTTTTTTCCATAGCTTTTCCTGTTGCTTTTATTCAAGCATGTATTTTTGAATGCATTTTCTACAAAATAGGCCTTTTTGGTACCTTTTGAATGTTGATTTGGGTGCTTCTTTTTCTCAGCTGAGAACTACGCCACAGCATTCAGAAAAGAGTGAAAGCAGTGCAGCAGAGCTGAATCACATGAAAAGGAGGTTATACCCGTTCAGATTTTGCAAAGATTCCGTAAGGACTCCAAACTCCTCTGACTCTTGGTTCCCTTTGTTGACATGCCCTGCTGTTGCTCCATCCTAAGGGATGTCTACATTTCAGGTCAAAAGAAATCTCATTCCCATTATCCATTTGACCTCTGTATGTCTCATTTTCTGTAAGTCTCTTCCCAAAGTTATATTCACTGTACTTGCTGATTCAATTTAGCTGTAAACCCCATTAAAATTAATGAACACAAAGCTAACATCTCTTTATTTTCACTGGTTGGTTGGTTTGGTTGTTTTAATTGAATTTTAATTTTTTATACCAGGCACATCCAATTAAAATATATTAAGTGACCAGGAAAAAAAGACCACAGACTGTGTTTTGTTGTCAATGGCAACTTCACCTGTAATTCAGATAAAACCACCCCTGATTCATATTTCAGCTGGAACAGATTATTCACTAGATCTGCCAGCTTCAGCAACATATTTTTATACCTGTCAGCATAATTAATACAAGGGTCAATTTCAGAGAGGGGCATTTATCAGGATTAGCAGCATGGAACTAACATCCACATCTAGAACTAAATATATCCCTTAAGTGTAAGTTCTCAGTTTTTTTCCTCACAGGGAGCATTTTTATGTCAATGGGTCAGGCCTCTGAAAAGTTCCTTTTTTTGGATTACATCACCAGAGTTTTCCAAGGATCACAGATCAAAAAGTAATGTTTGTAAATTATGCAAGAAATATCTCCTCTGCTTTTTAAGAATATTTTTGCAGCTGCATTATATTGATGGCATATAGTTTAGTTGTGATTAACTGGTATCCCAAGAAATGTTTTCCACTATCATTTCCTGTTCTGTTCTATATTGAGAAAACAGTATCTTCCCTCAAATGCATCAGTCAATTGTATTTAATTTTATTCCATGTTTACTGGACCAGTTCATGGGGTCACATGGTTCATCTTGCATAACTTCTAGATCTTTTCATTCATTCATTGGTTTAGTTGTGTAAATGCTAACTGCTGGTTCAACTTCATATTTTTCCCATTGCTCTCTGAAATTGGAGGATCTTATTGTTTAATTGCAGTAAAGAAAATTAATGTATATATGCTGTTATTTTGGGTTTTGTAGAAAGCCGGGCTACATAGAGTCATCATAGCTTGGTGGTTTAGGTATCTAGCTGCAGAGTTCAATTCTCCACCGTGCTTTCTTGACAGGGGTTGGACTGTTAGATGTGCAATTCTAAGATGATGATGATAATCATAGAATCACAGAATGGTGAAGTTGGAAGGGGCCTACAAAGCCATCAAGTCCAACCCCTCAATATAGAAATACAATCAAAGCATATCTGCCAGCTGATTATCTAAGTTTTTCTTGAATGCCTCCAGTGTTGGAGCACTCACCAACTCCCAAGGTAACTGGTTGCATGGTCATACTACTCTAACAGTTAGGAGGTTTTTCCTGATATTCAGCCAGAATTTGGCTTCCTTTAACTTCAGCCCATTGTTGCATGTCCTGCACTCTGGGATGATCAAGAACAGATCCTGCCCCTCTTCTGCATGACAGCCTTTCAAATATTTTAAAAGTGGTATCGTATCACCACTCAGCCTTCTTTTCTCAAGGCTAAACATGCCCAATTCTTTCAGCCTTTCTTCATAAGGCTTGGTTTCCAGCCCCGTGATCATCTTTGTCGCCCTCCTCTGAACTTGTTCCAATTTGTTAGCATCCTGCTTGAAGTGTGGTGTCCAGAACTGGCCTAACCAGTGCTGAATAGAGGGAGACTAGCACCTTGCAGGATTTGGAAACTATACTTCTATTAATGCAGTCTAAAATAGCATTAGCCTTTTTTGTAGCCACATCACACTGTTGTGATTATGATGATTATAGTCCTCTGAACAAAGCTAAGTGAAGGGTAAGAGCTTGAATCAAGAGAGGAAACCATAGATTCCCACAGCTTCTGTGGAATTATCTTCTTGTTCCACGTCCCGTGGGCCCCTTTAAAAGCTACACCTAAAGTTAAGGAGCCCTGTAAAACAGTACAGGGAGTGACATGTAACAGGGTGAAGCAAGTGACCTGGAAGAGTGGCTGAAATCCAGTAGTAGTTGCAACTAGAGTAGGTCTATTAAATCAGTGAAGCTTCATGAGTGTTTCTCTGAGTTACTCAAGCCCCTCTAGTTGCAACTAGAGTCGGTCTATTAAATCAGTGAAGCTTCATGAGTCAAATCCTCCATAAGTTTCATTGATTCAGAGGGCCTACTCTTGTTTCCATTTACTACTTACTATTTCAGCCAATATAGGGAGAATTAATGGGAAGACAGATAGCTCAGGTGTTTATCTCAGTTGTCTTTTCCAGACTTAAATGGACATGTCTAACCTTAGGCTCCCTTTTATCTTTCTCAAGAGTTCAATTCCTGTTTCTTCTTGCTCTACATAGTTTTTTGTAGACATAAAAGTAACTCTAGGGGTGATTATAATAAGTTTTAGAAATTCTTCTTAATGTGCTTTTCTAAATGAATTTCTTAGCACGGTAAAGAGTAACACCCCCACATACTTTTTTGTTATAATATGAGCCTCTAAAGTGGTAGTCAAAACTCTGCTTTAGGCTGCTGTGTTCTGTCAGCAAGTACTCTATAATCCTAACACCACGAAGTTCTGTTCTACATTGTCCAAGCTAAAAGATAGGACAATGTAGAACAGATACATTATCCCAGGGAAGATAGATCAACAGAAACCTCTTCATCATTATTGACATCATTATTACCATCATCATCATCCTTGGGGGAAGCAGTGTTGTGGTCATTGGTAAATGATTCAGTCATGATTAGTAAATTCATTGGCTATGACTCACTACTTTCTGAGAGAGATGTTTGGTGTTTGTTTTTGTTTGTTTTTTGTTTGATCTCATGAAAATTCATATTTCTAAAAAGATTATTTGGTGAGATAATTTCTGCCTTCCTACTTATTCAGTGTTGATCATTGTTCCATGCTTTGCATTCTCTCTCTCTCTTTCACCGCATGAATAACTTAAATTAGAGATGATTCCACGGTGTGTGCTGGTTCATTTTATGCTCAAATAGGTGTTCAACACCCCCCAGCCCCACTTTCTGTGGTGGACACCCAGTTAGGTGGGACAGAGAAGCCAGTGAGCTACCTTTGAGTGGGTGCCTACCAGAAGAGGTGGGGATGGGAAGCGCTGAAGACCTGTTCAGCTGAAAAGTGAACCAGTACAAACCTCTGAATCCATCTAATGGCCATCTGTACTGAAATCACATAGGGCATGTTCCTCATGAAAAAGACATCAAATAACAAGTGCATTTTTAAGATTCCAAGTCTGATGTGCTCTCTCTCTCTCTCTCTCTCTCTCACACACACACACACACACACACACACACACACACACACACACACACACGAGAGAGGGGGGAGGGGGGGAGAGTGAGCAAGCAAGCGAGAGAAGCATATTTCTTAGAAGCACCTTAACTCAAACCTGATCCTCAAATCCTGTGGTCATGTGACCAAAATGTAAAATATCAGGCTCAAACACTACTGTTCTTGAAACATTCATGCCGCTTCTCTTGATTAGAAAGAACAGAAATTCCTTTAGATGGGATGGAAAACTGGAAGTCCTCCAGATATTGTTGGGCTTCACTTTGCATTAATTCCAGCCCATATTCCAATTGCCAGGATAAATGGAAACTGTAATTCAACAACCTAAGCAGGGTAATAGATTCCCCATCCCTGTCTTAGAGTTTCTTTACAGTACAATTCTAAGCATGTCCACTCAGAAGGAAACCCTAGGGACATCCATGGGGTATATATTTGTTATGTGTTTCCAAGTCAGAACTGACTTACAGCAACCTTAAGTTTGCTATGTGTTTCCAAGTCAGAACTGACATACAGCGTCCTTAACAGAGCTTTCAATATTTAAGGAGTGGCTTTACCAGTGCCTCAGACCCAGTGAGCTGTCATAGCTGAGCATAGATTCAAATATAGATCTTCAGAATCCTACTCTGTTATTCTATCCACTACATCATGGGTATCCTTCCATCGGATTTACTCCTAGGTATCTTCCCGTATTGGTGTGATATATATCTGAATATCAGTTGCTAGGGGAACATGAACTGCAAAATGGTAGTGTGTTCATATTCTGCCTATGAGCTTCCCATAGGTTGGTAACTGGAGAAACAGAATGCTGTCTTAAATTATTCAAATGCTCTGATGGTAACAGTGTGCTATCACTTGTGTTGGAACTGAAAGAAAACACTTTGACTACATCTGTGTAGTATCTGCCACTGGAGTGGTGGGATGTAACTCTTCTCTCCATCGTCCAGACATCTCTCTTCAAATATATCAAGGATATGCCTTGTGCAATTCATTCCCTCCTTTTGGAATCAGTGGAATGGGGAAAACACAGAGCTAAACATATGTTAAATTCAAAATAATGTAGAACTCTTTATTAAAATACCAATATGCTTTACTTTGAAGAAGAAAACCAGCACATTCAGCAAAAAGCCTGTCCTAGAGCAGTGGTCCCCAATCTTGGGTCCCCAGGTGTTCTTGGACTCCCAGACTTCAACTCCCAGAAATCTTGGCTGGCACAGGTGGTGGTGAAGGCTTCTGGGAGTTGTAGTCCAAGAACATCTGGAGGCCCAAGGTTGGGGACCACTGCCTTTGAGGACCCTTAATTGCTGAAGGCTTGGTTAAAATAAAGCTCACTGGGGAATGGATAGCAGGAGGTCTAAAGACAGCATGCATAGCTGCTTAGAAAAAAAAATACTGTACTAAATAAGCTACCAACCAAGGAGCCTTAGTTCCATCAGACAGGATGGAAACAAATCTAAGTTTACTGTGGGCTCTTCTATATTCTAAGATGGAGGATCAGATTTGTCCACCTTTTCAGTTTCTAGCAATCCCAAGCTACAAGTTTTTCTGGGTGAAATCAAACACCACAGCATCAACCACATAAATGTGTGTAGAGAGTCTTCATCCTCTCACAACAGATTAGGGGAGATTACATGGTCTTTAGATCAGGCCAGCACCACTCCTTGTCCCTCCCCCATGCCTGTGTTTGTAACCTAGTGCATGTAGTCTTACTTGGTATTAACATGCGGTGTTGGGAGTCAACCTGGTCATTTGGAGGGGTACATATAAATATTATAATTAGTAAATTAATCTGTTTCTCCCTCATTCCATTTTAGTGATATAAGACATCACAAACTTCTTTCAATAAAAAAAACTCTATTCTGACTAGATGT